GCAATTTTTGTTTCGTTTGATGTCAACTTATAACATTTCACAGTTTCGAAGTTAAAAATTCAAAAGAATTTTAAAATTTTCATGAATTTTAAGGTAATTTAAGAACATAACCCTTTAGAATTTCTTTGATAGGGACATTGATTTTAATTGTAGGAATGTAAAATTTAGCAGGAACATGTATTTTGATACGGTGCATCATAATCAATCAAAAAGTCGATTTTGATTTTTTTGTAACTTAGGGCTTTTTGGATTTCATATGACGATTTGTTATAATATTTTCCTTAAAAATATTTAAAATATCTTCCAAAAATACATACAAAGCAAATAGCTTGAAACAATGAAACATCGTTTTCGAATTATCGAATTTGCATTGGTTCGATTATTCGAAATTCTCGCATAAACACATGATCTCCAATGACACGCTAATGTTAAAATTGTGCAAGCTTCACTTGTACCTCTGATTAATCAACATCTTTGTCATGTAACTTTTTGCTGGGATATTGATGTTGTCTACGACAAGCTCTACTTGCACTTTAATATAATAAAATAAAAACCTTTTAACGTTCTACGAGGTAATATTTTGTTTTTTAATAAAAAAGAGATATACGCCTCATAAAACTTTATTTTGTTTTATTTGCATATGTAAAATCTCGGACAAATTGGATTGATGCCAAACAATATTTATGCTGAAATTTTTTTCTGTGTATTATCAATATATGTATGTTCTTTATGTAGAAAATAAAACAACTCTGTTTTTTAATTTGAAAGATTTCAAGAAACGCGAATTTTGTGGCGGTTTTATTTGTTCGAAAACTATAAAAAATCAAAAAGGTATAAAATTTTAAGGTTTATATCTTTGAGAGTTTATATTATTTTTTTTATAATTTAAAACCCAAACTCTTACTATAGTGTGCTCTTTCATTCATTTTTTATGTTTTATATTGGAAATTTTTTAAATATTCGGACTATTCCGTTAAATATCTAAATGAAATATATATGATCCGGTTAAATGTCTGATAAAGTTACAAAAACAATTTTCAGAAATAATTCGTAAGCCATTTTATAAGGATAAAAAACAAATTTTTGCTCTCCTCCTTTGACGGAGCAACGATGTATGGGGAATTTCATGCCAAGTGAACTTTTGAAATCGATGTCTTCCGATCGGGATGAAATTTGCACCAATGTTAGTTCTATTGGATAGTTTTTAGACACAATTAGACAAAGGCATCGGTTTCAAAAGATTGGTCATTTCATGAAATCCGAATCATGCGAATCAATCAGGTTTCCGACAGAATTACTGTACTACTACTCTTTTAGTAAATGTAACTGATTCCATAAGGTGCAACCTTAACAATAGGAAATGTAGTGTTTTGCTATCATTGGACCTGTCAAAAGCGTTTGATAAACTGTAAACTCACTTACTGTTATTTACATAGAAGATCTCAGTTTGTATCTTTGGGGGGTAGAGATTCGGGTACCTTGGAGGTTACAAGTGGTGTCCCGCAAGGGTCCGTTATAGGCCCCTTGTATTTTATGCTATATCTGAATGATTTAATGAATATAGTAGATGACAAAGATCCCGCAAGGGTCCGTTATAAGCCCCTTGTATTTTATGCTATATCTGAATGATTTAATGAATATAGTAGATGATAACTCAGTTAAAATCCCAGCAAAAAGTTACATGACAAAGATGTTGTTTAATCAGAGGTGCAAGTGATGACGAATTGGTTCGATTTAGGTGAAACATGCATGATTTTAACATTAGCGTGTCATTGGAGATCATGTGTTTATGCGAGAATTTCGAATAATCGAACCAATGCAATTTCAATGATTCGAAAGCTATTTGTTTTGTATGTATTTTTGGAAGATATTTTACATAGTTATAAGGAAAATATTATAATAAATATGGGAGGATACATAAAATAATATTAATAATAAAAATTATTTCTAAAAACGCATAAATCTCATTTGATTAAATTAACCATCTGAATTAATTTTTTAAGTTTTAAAGAAATTTTTTAACTGCGGAATAGGTTGAATTTAGGAAGTCATTTAGAATGAGTTGTATTAGCACTGTTATTAAAGAAGTCATGAAACTTACATTTCCTTCGCACTACTGCAAATTTTTTTTGCTGGGATGTTCTCATATGCAGATGACATTCAAATGTTATTTACCGCTGAAAGATATTTTATTGATGTCTTGGAAGGCAATAGATGAGTGGAAATGGATTTGAAATAAACCCTCATAAAACAAAAGCTATTAGTTTTGGATTTAACTCCGATGTGTTGAATATTAATTTGGGTGGTGTAGGACTGAAGTAGTATTTAGAATTATAAACTTATTTAAATTTTTTTCTTACAACTTAAGTAGCAAATGACTATAATTTACCAAAATATATATGTAATTATGTTAAATCTTTACCCTTAATAGGTATATATTTTATTAAAAACTTATATTTCTATTTCAATATTTTAAATAAATATGTGCAAATAAGCCCAAAAAAATATTTGCTACTTTTAAACTAAAAAAATATTATTTTTGTTTTAGATTAATATTATTTCTAAATTTCAGTTTTCCACGCAAGCCTTGTTGTGAAGATGAGAGTATAACTATTTCTCATTTCTTCTTTTTTCGCTCTTACACTTATACAAGTGCAAAATGTGGTAGTATATGTCTGCCGATCGCGGCTTTAGATTTATATTTAACATCTAATATAAGAAAAGCATAGATATTTCTCTCCTAATGTCCCTTTTGCTTTACGCCATTGAGATTTGTAGTGGAACTAGTGCACAAATGTTAAGACGACTACACTTAACATTTAACCGTATTGTAAGGTATGTTTACAGATTGCGGGTTAGGGATCACATATCTGAATATGTGCTAAAATTTATCGGGTTTCCATTTGAAAATTTCGTAGATACAAGAATTTTATTACTCTTTTATAAGATTATTAAGAATAATTGTCCTATATACATCGCCGACCCTTTTAAGTTTTCTAAATCGTTGAGGAATCTTCAAATAATAGTTCCCCACATTGCATCTGCAGTATATGAAAAGTCATTTCATGTATGAGTTTCGAGAGTGTGGAATACGCTACCTAGGGAAATTAAAAATTTTTCTTACTCTAATCAGATTTTTAAGAAAAAAATATTTTTTTTTTTTTTTTTTTTTGTTATCGCTACCCCACAGAAAATTTATAGCTTACTACATTGATATTGTGTTGCTTATTTTGTATTCGAAAGTGCTTACAAACTTACACACACTCTGGCTTACTTTACACAGGGTATGGCCGCTTGAAAATGACACACAAACTGATATACTTGGTTTGCGATATTGTGTGTAAATTATACTTTTTTATAATATACTTGTGTGTGGAAAAGTAGCTATTCCTACATTCTTACCGATATACCTAGTAAGTAAAATTGTTTCTACAGCACCTTTCTAGCTGGAACACAAGTGTATCAAAAAGTATCTACTACAACTTTCTATGTTAAATACATGTGTATTAAGAAGTATCTAAATATGTATATTTTTTAAAAAATGCTACCCAAATACATGTATCTAAAAATTCATTCATAAGTATATGGCCATTCCAATTATCGCTAGATCATGATCCTAATTTTAAGCAATAAATTTTGTATAAAATTCATCTTAACATTGAAAAAATGTTGATCCAAAAAATATTTTTCAATAAATGAAAAATTTTTTGTTGATTAAATTACAGCACACTTGATTTTTTTATATTTTAATTTTCTGTTCTCATATACAATGTTAATCACAAGTATATTAAGATGTAATGCAAAAAAATTTTATTAAAAATTGAAACTTCATATTCAGATTTGATATACAAGTAAATCAAATTATAAGTAACACAAAGTAAGGCACACAACATTGGTTACAATTCCGAGTACTCTGAAAATTTTCTGTGGAGTACATTCGTTTCAACAATTATTTTATAATTTATATCATACATGGGAATTTTTCATTGAGCATTAAAATTTCATTACCATTTATAGAAAAAATTGTAATGAAAAATATTTTAAGTACCATTTAATGAAAATTATATTTTTTCCATTATAACTTTTTTTGATAATGGTAATGAATTTGATAATGAATTTTCAAAAACGAATTTAATTAGTATTTATAATTGTCGAAAAATATATTAAGGAAAATTTTTCGAAGATTCGAGGTTTGAAAGCTTTTAAAACCAATTACCGTAGCCCAAATTGGCTGAAATTTTGCAGTCATAAGTACATCTGATGACAATACAATAATATGTTCGAATATTCGAAATTAAGTTCGAAAATTCGAAGTTATTTTCGAAAATTTTTTTATGTTTTTAAATTAACCTCTGTGTCATAAAACCTAAAAAAAAAATTTCGAAAATTCGAACTCGTGTTCGAAAAATTTTTAAAGCTGTTAAAACTAGTTCTTCTAGTCCTAATGTGCTGAAATTTGGCATACATGATTTCACCTAATGACAATACATTATAATGTTCGGATATTCGAAATTAATTTCGAAATTCGAACTAATGTTCGAAAATTTTTAAAATCCATTGAATAATGGTAATAAAAATTTATTTTTAAATAATTACTAATGAAATCGTTTCATTAAAAACCATTACCATTAGACAAAATAATGCTAATGAAAAAAAAAATAATTATAATTTTTTCAATTTAATGCTAATGAAATCGTCAATTAATTAGTCGATATAATTAACTACTCCCATGTATGATTTATATGTATCACACCTTAATTTATATTATTCTGTCACATTTTACACTATTTAAATAACTTTAAGAAGTATTGTTATGGAGTAGAATTATAAGCCATATTTGGCCCCAAGGGCTTGGTTTTGAATTTGTAAAATTAAAAATAAAAAAAATAAAATAAAATCCCCCATATGTATGTATGTATGTACATTTGAAAAGCCATAAAACCTGCACTTACTAAATTTTTCCCCGAAAACTATGTAATGGCCATAAAAATCAAACTTACTGCAAAAAATAATGATTGGTCTTTATCGAACGGTGATCCCTTACTGTCGTTTAACTTTTCAGGATTTCCTTCATGTTGTGTCAATTCCTTCAGGACACAAAAATCATATTTTGGCCTTTGTTCCAGAGCCTTTGAAATTGCCTCAAATGTTGTATTTGTCTTCTGTGCAAATTGTTTCAGTTCGGACATGTAAGAAACTAATACATGCGAGAACATATTGCACCTTGCAGCTGCTAGTAGATCAATCTGAAATAAATAATTTAAGCGTATACATAAGATTGCAGTATAAAGTTGGATGATATTTTTTAAATGATAGATATATTGAATGTTTATATATGAATATGTCGTTGGTGTTTTTAATAAAGTGAAGACATGATTATTTTGATTAAAAGATTTTCAAAAAATCGTATGTATGTATGTATACCCAGCAAAAAAAGTGAGGAAAAAGAAGTAGAATTTTCATTTAACCTAACCTACATTTGCGTGTCATTGTAGGGATGTTGTTCAATTTTGACAACTTTGAACTACATCTAATCTTATTTTTAGAAGCAGTAAAAATCCGATATTTGGATGTCAAAAATAAACCACATTCTTTCAATGACATGCTTATGTAAATTTCACTGGTTTTCACCAAAGTGTAATGTACTTCGAACATGTTATTTGTAGTGACTTTTTTACATCTCTTTCCTCACTTTTAACTGGGGTTTCATTTGTAAGGAAATATTTGGTTTATAAAAGCAAAAAATATGTAATCGCATTTTTGGATGCGATTAAGGTGTCGTTTATAAAGGATGACATCAATTATTTTTTGCAGGGTTCATATTATAACACCCTGTAACAATTTAGAAAAAAAAGGTTTCACACATGTAAATGTTGATATGCATGTAAAAATAGAGTCTATTTATAGGTCCGTGCCGGAATCGAACTAAATCCCGGACCATGGTTCTGTACAGTTTGCCAGAACCGGTTGCACCATATGTCCACCCAATTACGGTGCAACGCTTGTTTGGGCTGGTGTCACCACAGGAACTGCTCTGGACTAAACCATCATCGGGAGTGGTCAGAGACTTTTGTCGCCCCATGCTGCCAACAACAGCGACGAAATTCATTGGCATCATCGACATCGTCATCGTCGTCATAATACGCCACAACGCGTATCATCAGCTCTGGCACTCTAGTCTAGGGGAAGACCAGAGAGGCACGTCACTGGCGGAACAAATTGACTAATCCACCTTCTGCACACTACATGATGATGCCCCCACACGGATTATGGGTAACTGCGCCAGCTCACAATAGCGAGCCCTGGTCTGATAAACTACGCAACTTGGAGAGCAGTAGTTCCTCTAGTCTCAGACCACTTACCCATAATCGTTTGTCTTTAGGCGAACTGGTGAAAAGCAGTTATAGGACGCGTCACCAATGTATACTGGACACGTTGGACGTGCCCGATCGCATACCAGAGACAAAATATGTCGGAAACTTTGAAACGCTGATCCCAATAGAAATCCGTTGCTACGCGGATGGCTCGAAATTGGGAGACAAAGTGGGCTTGGGTTTAGATTAGAATAAATAAAAAAAAATATAATATATATACATATATATATATATATATATATATATATATATATATATATATATATATATACATATACATATATTACATAAATATAGGCCTCTTCTACGCTGTCCCTGGGGGTTCCAGTCTAGGACACACCTAGCTATATCATTATGTGGGCGTCGTAAGATGTGGCCTAACCAGATCCATTTCCTAATACGGATTTCCATTTCGACTGGACTACTGTTTGTCCGATGTAGTAATCGCTTAATCCTGCGAGTAGTATCCTAGGCCGATCTCCAGGTTGTGCAACCATATGGTAAAATCGATTTGACGCTACAATTGAAAATTCGTAACTTCGTTTTGCGCGAGATATTGTTGCATCTCCAAATTTTACCTAGCGTTAGAAATGCACTTCTAGCCTTGTTGAGCTTGGTCTTTCCAATGTTTATCTTCAGACCAACATTAGCGGTATTTTACTTCAGGCGTTCCAGCTTGGATTTTATGTGTACAAAGCTGTGCGCAAAAAAGCAGATGTCGTCAGCATAGTCAATGTCGCCAAGGAAATCGTTGACGCTCCAGCGAATGCCATATGGTGCCTGATTATTTGTTGTTTCTAAAGCGGAATAAGCGCCCACATGGCTTAACAGGCAATTAGGGCGATATTAGTAAACAAAAAAAACCTATTTAAGTGAGCGGGAGTGTATTTGAAAATTTAATATTCAAATCATAAATTGTCAATAAAAATTTTAACAATTTATTGCAAAAATTGGTATTTGCACTGAAATATCAAGTGCACTATTCAAGTTACAGAAAGTTTGTTTATTTTACTATTTTTATACATTTTAAAAAATATTTGTCATCTATTGGTGAATATCAAAATAAAATAATTAATTTCTTTTGAAATTAATATTGAAATTAGTTGAATCCAACTTTTTTTTGGATTTAATAAATCTTAATTGGATTTACTTCTTTTAGCTACAGAACCGCCATTTTTGCACTTAAATTAATTTTTCTTTGACCTTATATTAGCTTATATAGTGTATTTTCAGATAATGATGACCAAAACTAAATTTTGAGGAGTCTTCTCGTCCTGCTCTCGGTAGGGTCACCCCATAGGATTTTTGTGGTTACATATATATATATATATATATACATATACATATATTACATAAATATAGGCCTCTTCTACGCTGTCCCTGGGGGTTCCAGTCTAGGACACATCTAGCTATATCATTATGTGGGCGTCGTAAGATGTGGCCTAACCAGATCCATTTCCTTATACGGATTTCCATTTCGACTGGACTACTGTTTGTCCGATGTAGTAATCCTGCGAGTAGTATCCTAGGCCGAACTCCAGGTTGTGCAACCATATGGTAAAATCGATTTGACGCTACAATTGAAAATTCGTAACTTCGTTTTGCGCGAGATATTGTTGCATCTCCAAATTTTACCTAGCGTTAGAAATGCACTTCTAGCCTTGTTGAGCTTGGTCTTTCCAATGTTTATCTTCAGACCAACATTAGCGGCAGGCGTTCCAGCTTGGATTTTATGTGTACAAAGCTGTGCGCAAAAAAGCAGATGTCGTCAGCATAGTCAATGTCGCCAAGGAAATCGTTGACGCTCCAGCGAATGCCATATGGTGCCTGATTATTTGTTGTTTCTAAAGCGGAATAAGCGCCCACATGGCTTAACAGGCAATTAGGGCGATATTAGTAAACAAAAAAAACCTATTTAAGTGAGCGGGAGTGTATTTGAAAATTTAATATTCAAATCATAAATTGTCAATAAAAATTGTAACAATTTATTGCAAAAATTGGTATTTGCACTGAAATATCAAGTGCACTATTCAAGTTACAGAAAGTTTGTTTATTTTACTATTTTTATACATTTTAAAAAATATTTGTCATCTATTGGTGAATATCAAAATAAAATAATTAATTTCTTTTGAAATTAATATTGAAATTAGCTGAATCCAACTTTTTTTTGGATTTAATAAATCTTAATTGGATTTACTTCTTTTAGCTACAGAACCGCCATTTTTGCACTTAAATTAATTTTTCTTTGACCTTATATTAGCTTATATAGTGTATTTTCAGATAATGATGACCAAAACTAAATTTCAGTCTCCGAAGATAGTTTTTTTTCTTAAAATAAAATAAATCCATTTTTGCACTTAAATTAATTTTTCTTTTCGTCCTGCTCTCGTTAGGGTCACCCCATAGGATTTTTGTGGTTACATATATATATATATATACATATACATATATTACATAAATATAGGCCTCTTCTACGCTGTCCCTGGGGGTTCCAGTCTAGGACACATCTAGCTATATCATTATGTGGGCGTCGTAAGATGTGGCCTAACCAGATCCATTTCCTTATACGGATTTCCATTTCGACTGGACTACTGTTTGTCCGATGTAGTAATCCTGCGAGTAGTATCCTAGGCCGAACTCCAGGTTGTGCAACCATATGGTAAAATCGATTTGACGCTACAATTGAAAATTCGTAACTTCGTTTTGCGCGAGATATTGTTGCATCTCCAAATTTTACCTAGCGTTAGAAATGCACTTCTAGCCTTGTTGAGCTTGGTCTTTCCAATGTTTATCTTCAGACCAACATTAGCGGCAGGCGTTCCAGCTTGGATTTTATGTGTACAAAGCTGTGCGCAAAAAAGCAGATGTCGTCAGCATAGTCAATGTCGCCAAGGAAATCGTTGACGCTCCAGCGAATGCCATATGGTGCCTGATTATTTGTTGTTTCTAAAGCGGAATAAGCGCCCACATGGCTTAACAGGCAATTAGGGCGATATTAGGTGATAAAGTTAAATCTAAAACCGTATTGGATTGTAAAAAAGCTCTAACCGAATACTCTGTCAGAGGTAAGGTTCACATCATATACACATAGGTACCAGGCCACTCGGGAGTAGTCGGCAATGAAAGAGCGAATGTAATAGCTTTAAAGGGAAGGGAACTCGAGGTAGTTAGGGCAGAATTAAAATTATGGGTGAGAGGAACCCATAAGGCCCCTTGGAATAATGAAACCGTGGGTAGAACCACAAAAATCCTATGGGGTGACCCTAACGAGAGCAGAACGAGAAGACTCCTCAAAATAAACAAGTCTGATGTTAGTATGATGGTAGGTAATCTGAGTGGACACACAGGATTACAAAATTGGACGTGCAGATTCAGAAAAATGTAGAGCATATAGAGAGGACAGTGAAACTCTGGAGCACTTTATTTATCATTGTCAGGCTTTCGCCGAAATTAGATCCAAATATTTTGGAATTGATATTATTCCGGATATAATATCCTTCACGAACACTGATTGGAAATTTCTTTGGAATTAAGTTTTTTTTTATTTTACCAACAAACATTTGCCATGAAAAGGAGCGCACAACAGGCCCGATAGTGTCCTAGGTGTATTTCTTCGGATTTGGTGTAGATACAGCATCCTACCAACCCAACCTAACCTATATCTTGTGTTTATCAATAATCCTAACCAAAGTTAAAAGTGAGAAAACATAATAACAATTAACAATTCGGAACAAGAAAAACTAAATTTTTTAAGTAAATAGTAATATTCCGATTTGTTTTATTAATGTTACTATTGTTTTAATACCCTTATTCTATAATTTTTCGTTCGTTTCTGTACATGTACAGAAACAAAAGCGTTATCATGAATATTT